GTCTGAATCGATTTGTTTTGGTAAATGATACTCACGCTCAAGATGAATAGTGTCTATGAGAGATGTAACTCTCATAAGCTCAAACCAGTCTATTAAAGTTTTGTTTCCGATTGCACCTTTCATACAGGTTAGTGCAAGAAGTGGAGACAGATGACTGACTACCCGAAAATATGACAGAATGAGTGTGGACCGTGAAAACAACAGAAAAGACAAAAACAATTTAAGACCAATACCTGCAAGATGATAAAATGTTAAGAATGTAATATATTACAATTAAAAGATATAACAGTAAAGCAGCTTGAAATGACAACTGGAGTAATAACAACAATATAAAATAGAATAAAATTAACTTAAATACAATAAAATAAGTCATTATTAAAATAGCAATTACAGGTTACAACTTAAATACAATAAAATAAGTGAATTGAACATTTTTCAAACACTCTTAATCAAAGGCCTGGCTAAATAGGTAGGTTTTAATTTGACGTTTAAAGATAAGCATCACTTGAAGGCAGCAACACATGAAGCCATCATAAATCAGGTTGTGGTGACGTTTCTGTTATTAAGCCTCACGTTGAGATCGAACCTAGACACCTACAATGAATGCGGGCGTTTTAGGATACAGGAGCCTACATTTAGTCACCCTCTCTATAGATAAACTATAGCCTATTATAGATTGCTATTGACAAGAGCAAGCAGTAACAGAGGTTGGGGGCTGTGGTAATGGCCTGTGATTGAACACCTTGTGCTGAGGTCCCGCTGCTCACTGCCTCATTAACTCTGGCAGGTCCTCCGTTCAGCACGCTGCATTGCAGGCCACAGTCGGGACGCATTTAACTGTCTCGACTGCAGTCGGCGAAACACAAGCCTAAAGGCTGGATTTGAAGCAGCATTGTAAGGACTGGGACGCTCATCCTGAAACATGTCTTTGAGTATAGGCATGAGTTGCATCACCTTTAGGTGTCTGAGGGATGTTTTGGTTTTACTGCACAAGTCTCTTTAATATCCTTTTAATGAAGCGATGATTTTCAAAATCAAGACTCAGTAAAAGGAGTAAAATGACCTATTAGTTCTTGTAAATAATTTAAGTCCCTTAAATCTTAAGCTACTTCCATATGATTCAGCTATTGGCCATGTTAGTGGAAATTTTAAATTTGACACTGTTTAAAGTTATAGACCTCAATATGTTATCCTGGATGGTTTGGTATCACTTGTGGTAACAAAAGGGATTTGTTTTAAAAATAAAAATGATGCAATATAGCTTTAGGCCATTAACTGAGATCTTTTAAGACTTTCTCAGACTTTTCTTTCGAGGTGGCTGGTTGCTTGTTTACCCTGCTGCACATCAGAATCAGTAAAAGTGCCTACCTCCGTGGCCAGCCTCTACCCCATTTCTCTGCTCTGTGCCCATCCGGCCAATGTCACCTCCCATCGGGGAGTATTCCTCTCCATTACCGGGCTCTGTCCATCCTCCACTTAAATAACAGCAGCCCTGCCACTCCAGGTCCATTAAGATACTGCCGGCACTGCCGCGGCCGCACACACACAAACAGCCACAAGCTGCCCGAGTCTTTATAAATAGATGGCGGGAGAAGGAGAGAGAGGCTGGTTAGAGCAGGTAAATTATTCCAAAACAGCCAAACAGGACTGAGACTAAGAACCCCCCCCCCCCACCACTCTGCCGGCTCCTCCAGCTCCTCCTTTCAGGTGTCACTTTGGGCTGACTCAATTTTACACTGTAATGGACCTCCCGGGTCAACTACTTTTCTCCCACTTCTCCTTCCTTTTTTATCTCTCCACTGCTCTCTTCATCTATCAGCGGCGAACAACACCTTTACTCACTATCCTGCAACACACACACACACACGTTATTCCCTGCACTGACTGTATAGTGTGTACCACTTAATTTGGTCTAATACTAATCAGGGTTCGCACTGCACTTAAATTGTGGTTTGCAGTTTGCAAAAAGGGGAAATGATGGCAAGCAACAAGTATAGGTTTCCCACATGAAAAGCATGAATACAGATCTGTTCCCTCACAAGTCTGGAGCTTCATTACCCAAGCGACATGTTTTACGGCAGGGCTTTTCTTACTCAGGTCGTTGTTGTGGTCCACGTTTGCAATTGAGAGTTGGCTACTCTACATCTACTTGAAGACAGACAGCATCTAGATCTTCTTGAGTGATGAATGAGATGGAGATACAGCAGTAAAATAGTGTATGTACATTGAGAGCGGAGTGGAAACCGGAGACAAATTCCATGTATGCGTAAGCATACATGGCTAATAAAGCTGATTCTGATTCTCATTATGTCCCCTCCAAGTCAATGATGCTTTTATCTGCTGGATACGCTGTGGAGGATTTTTTTCCTGCTATTAATAAAAAGCAATATCGAGGCATACAGATGGAAGAGCTCTTAAGCCGTGTAGTTATTGTCCACCTTCACGGTCTCCTGTCCTCCTTACATCAGGAAATATACCTTTATGGTTTGCTATTAAATGCATGTGCTTTCTTAATGGCAGGACTGCCATAAAAAGCAGCTCTTCAAAGCTCGACAAGTAGTGGCTGTATCGTAGATGTTGTCATTTTTGAGTACCGGTACATGTATTAGGTTCTAGGGTATAAAGTAGCATGTTTAAATGTGGATCAATTCCCGTTTCTACTTATCACCTTTGTTCTTTTTGGTGCACTTTTGTCTGCGTGTGTCACATTGACTCTCTTCGGTGTATCGTGTTGCTTTGAAAACAAACTCCTTTAAAAATTGACAAATAATTTCTGACACGTCATATGGCATTCAACTTAATGTGACTCGCCACTGTAACTACCATGACTTCAAAGTAAAGTGTGTGTGTGTGTGTGTGTGTGTGTGTGTAGCTGTGCGTGTGTGCATCTAGGTTTCATATTTCCACCATGTCCACGCGTTAGCCTAGACCTTACATTAAAGGTCTGATAACCTTTTACATTCCAAAACCCTTTTTTCACTCCAATTCCCCATCTTTGACCAAAGTCTCTCTCCATCCCCCCTCCCCTTCTCCCTCTCTCTCATTTTCACTTATTCTGCATTCAGACCACTCGGGCCTTTTTCTGTCTCGACCTCTCTAAACAACAACATATAATGGCGCGTTACTTCACGTCTTTATTGTGGCCGTGAATTATTTGGTTCGAAGTGGCCCGGAGGAAGTAGTCGTCTGCTTATGGTAGTCCATTGACGGAGCCAAACCTAAGACACACGATACACCAAGAGAGAGGGAGGGAGTGAGGTAGAGAGAGAATAGAAGTGAATAGGGGGCATGCCTGTCAATCAAAGCCACTTAAGTACCTGGAGTCCTAGAGGGATTCCAGCAGCAATCGACCCCAGTCAATTGTCTCTTCATTGATAAAAGCAGAGAGGAGGAGAAAAGAGACTGGCGAGGAAAAAACAACACAGGAGAAAACGAACTTAGCACGAGTCACACGTATGGACTACTTTGCATTCACACAGTTGAATCTACATTTTTCTTTCTACATTCAGGTTTTACATTTGCTATTATAATTACGGTGGAGCTTATGTTGATGTTAATTTGAAAAAAGTAGGGGAAGAACTTGTTAGCATAAACACTGGCATTTCCCACCTACTGAAAATGCGTCTTCAAAATCGTTGAAAAGAAAATCTAAATGTAAAATGAGCGTGCATTTTGAAGACGCATGCAGTATGAACATTTGACATGTTTACTGTTAACATTTTGGGTGATATATGAAGTTTGTCCTGTGAGCTGGAGGAAACTCCGTGGTGCCATTAGACCAGAGCGGTTTATGCTCGAGGTTTATGCCTGAATGTGCTCAGCGAATTTTCTGGCAATCTGCCAAATATAACATAATATATCTTGTGTAAAAGAGGGAAATCTGCCCTGATGGTGAGCCTAGAGAAAAGGCCGAATCCTACTCACCTGTAGGGCTGACAGATTAGTGTCTCAGGCTTTCAGTCATGGGTGTTCAACAAGGATCTAATGAAAGCTCTACACTCCTGCCGACACTCTCTCCTGTACAACAGTAAATGAAAAGTAGAGACAGAGCTCAAGTCGGAAAGGGAAGGTTTGTCAATATTTATTTCTCTCCCCTACATGCACCAAAATTCGATGTTTTTTTTTCCCCTCTTGGATTTGTACATCAGCCTCCTCTACTACAAACTGAAACTTTTATCTTTACCTGCAATCCTGCAGCTCTTCTCTACCCTTCCTCCTATCGCCATCATCCTCCAGCGGTGCATCTTCCCTCCATCCCTGTTCTTTAGCATGTAGAGCAGCAGAGACAGTGATTGATCTGGCGCGGAGGCTGTCGTGGGCCCTCCTCCCCTCCTCCAGTGGTTATGAACATGAGGCGGGCTGCTCTTCATAGATTTTTAAATTAGTGTCAGCTTTGCCCCAAAGATGTGTTATTGACTGATGAAATAGAAACTGAGCTCCAAACACTCAGTCCTTCCCCAGAGTTTTCCCCAGTCTGGTAATTGAAAAAGTGTGAAGGGAGTGTGTTCAAGGGAGCGTGCAGCTGTGCGTGTGTCTGTTCCTGTTTGTGATTTATTTTTTTTTTTTTGTGTGTGTGTTTGCGCGCTTGCAACTGTGCGCTCTTTATCTCTGCTGGAGAAAAATGCACAATGCTCGCTAGAGTCAAGATTCGATTGAAGTATTGCATAGGAGATCTTTATCTTCTACACAGCCGCTCTGAAACTCGAGTTCTGTTTGCACCTTTAATCCTATAAATACAGTTTGCTTCATGTAAGCCTATGAAGGCTAAGTTTGTAAAATGTTCCATGTCTGAGCCCATAACAATCACACCTGAGTTGTTGCTTATCCTGCGTCTTAATCACTGTGTGCATGTGCAACCTTTAGTGTGATTTTTTTTTTTTTTTTTTGTGCGAAGCGGGCATTGGTTGTGCCGTTTCCCTGTCTAGCTCCACCGTGTTTTGTTTTTGTACCTGTAATAAAACTCACCACTAACTTAACATATTGTGTCTTTTGCTCTGCAGGGTCCGACATGGCCATCTTCTGCCTGCTTTGCGGGAAGCGTTTCCAGACCCAGCCGGCGCTGCAGCAGCACATGGAAGTCCATGCCGGCGTTCGCAGCTACATTTGCAGTGAATGCAACCGGACCTTCCCCAGCCACACTGCACTCAAGCGTCACCTACGCTCACACACAGGTCAGTGGAAGCACTCACCAACCATCTTCACTTCGGCGATGGGGCCTTAAGTTCACCGGTGAAGCATTTGTGTGCTCCACCGTGTGTATCCGTCTATTCATTTTCAACACTTTCTCCAGCTCATTCTGGGGAATCCCTTGACCTTCCCGTCCCTGAAGGGATGTGGGATCCGTTTTGGTGGACTGTAGGTCCGCTCCCATTTTAAACCAAAATACCTGAACAAGCCTCTGAGAGACATCGTCATCATGTGTCTAAACCAAAACCACCACACCGAGCTCCCTTTCACATGAGGGTGCAGTAGCTCTTATTCGGCACTTCTCGTGGACTCTGAGCTTCTTACTCTGAAGTAAACTTATGGCAGCCACCCCTATCCGCAATCAAGACAGCTTAGAACATAGCTGAGGGTTAGAAGACAGACTGACTGACACATCAAGAGTCCCGCCATCAAGCTCTGCTCCCCCAAAGCCACGATAATCCAATAAAACATTGACTACATTTGGAGAACTTACTAGAGTGACTATAGTGCATTAGGTCATACAAAATCCTTTAAAAGTGCCAGTGTGTAGCATTTCAGGGGATATATTAGCAGGAAATTAACATAATATTCATAACTATGTTTTCAGGAGTGTATTAACCAAAAAATAAGAATCAAATGAGCCGTTTGTATCTACATAGGGAGCGGGTCCTCTTCACAGAGTCCGCCGTGTTGCACCACCATCTTTCTGCAGTAGCCCAGAATAGATAAATACACTTGCTTATGCCCTCTCACTAAAGAGAGCCTTGCACTTTTTTATGTGAACTGAAGGCCACCGTAGTTCTCTGACACACTTGTGAAACTGCGGTAACATCAGCCACATAGTGCAAAACGATGGCACCGCCAGCCGCCGGACTCCAGTCTTGGAAAGGGAGGAGTGAGCAGAGGGGTGCTCAGTTGGTTGCAATCTGCAACCACAACACTAAATGCCCCTGAGTCCTACAGACTGTGCCTTTAATTTGCCATGCTTTCTAGCTCCTGCCACATCTACTAATAATTCATCCCTCCTGGTCCAACCCAATTTACATCGGCGCCTCAGGTGCACCAGTGCAATGCTGCAGCAGCATCTCTGGTCAGGGAATAACTCGACTCTGTTGGTCTTGCTCAAATAAGAATTTGCAGTGAACTTGCGTCACCATTTATGTCTGGTCTGCCCTTTATTCTCAAAAGAGCACACTTGAATGTATTCCGTTTCTTCTACTAATAGAGCAGAGCAGACCGCGCAGTGAGGATTCATATTGACATCAAGGATTTGAAATCAAAACAGAAAAATTGAGTGTTAAGTCACTGGGATCAGTGCCATTTTAAAGATTTTATTTCTGACATTTTTAATCATTGAAACAATTTGAAAAGAGTTAGGACATTAATGTCTGAGTGGAGCTTTAGTAGAGGAGCCACTCCAGGGTTTTTGGTCACATTTCAGGGGGAAATCGGCACTAAAACGTGTTTTTTAAGCTGTAAATATTTTTGATGACCTCCACATAATGAATACCAACCGTTGGTTAGAGACGGTCTCAATATTATGACATGTTATTATCATTATGTTGCATAATAGCAAGGCTAGATTACCATCTGCCCCAGGGTCACTGTGCGGCAGTAGGATTTTGGTTTAATGATTAATTTTAGCTTTGTTTGGGTATATGGGAATATGCTCCACTCATACACAATATCAACTGACATGATAAAGAGCTTACGGTGTGACCTGCTTTATTGCCTGATAATGAGGTCATGTGTTGAAGAGGATCAGTTGAAAAGCACTCTTAAAAAAGCACATGTTTATTACATGTGGAACATGGCAAAAAACTCGCTAATTTCACGTGTGATAAATGAACATGATATGAGAACATGGAATGTTCATGTGATAGTTCACATCAATTAATATGTATATATGTATATTAATTTCTGAGAAACTTGCCCATGCAAATATCTAACTACACAGAAAGCCTTAAATGTTGGATATGCTTTTTCTTTTAGACAAATGTTGAGCACACATTTTCATCGGATTTATTGTTTCCTATTACCACCTCCCACCCTACTAGTAATAGTAGGAATGCACCTTCAACAATCTTGCCCACGACAAAGATCATCATGGACAAATATAGCTTACAGTATATTACAAGTTAAAAGCCATGTTAGTTTAGGAAATGGGAGTGAATTATGTTATCCCTACCCAGTTACATTGCTCCTCTAGCTCAGCTGAATAAACAGCATTAATTCAGGTCAAACCCAAAATGAATTCTGCAGCAGTCAGACGCAGCTTATTTACAGAGAGCATTTTTGTTGTTGTTTTTGTTTTTTTCCAGTCCACTCCAGTAATTCTCTCAGTGCTGGCTCTCTACTGAGGCGAGGCCAGGATACTAATACATTGTTTCGAGGGAGCAGAGGTAGCCTGACGGATGCTGCTATTCAGAGTGAAAAAAACGTAACCATGACAGAATATGAACACATGGAAATGAATCCCATTTCAGCGGCGAGGGATGGATGCTTTTTTCTTCTCTCTCTCTCACCCTCTCTCTCTCTCTCTCTCTCACCCAGCCGCCCGTCTGCGACCTTAAATAACAGTCTCACTGTCAGAGCCGATTTAGCTCACCGGCTCACGGATAAATATTTGAAACGAAAGGAGTGAGATGAGAGCAGTCGGCCCTATTTACAAGTCAGGCGAATACACCATTAGTGTGTGATGGGGGAAGGGGGGGGGAGGGAGGGAGGGAGGGGCTGTGGACAGAGCCGCTTGAGCCGTCTGTACAGTAGCAATGCACACATCTGCTCTGTCTGCCAGACATTGGAGAGGACAAAAGCAGCGTCTCTGATCCACCTGCCCACCCGGGCGACGCAAATGTCACCCCAGCTCGTCTCTGGAGCTGCAGATGAGACTTTGCAGCCTCGTGCCACTTTGAACCGCATCCCACTGTGGCCGTGTGTTAAATCACAATGAGCCAGCCGCGAAAGCAATCGTTTAAATATGATGCGGAGCCTTTTGTCGGGGGATTATAAAGTCAGCCACTCACACAGCCATAATGGGAGCCAGAAATAGGTCCTAATTTACCCTAAAAAAAAAAAAAAAAAGACAAACATGGTGTTCCTCTACATTTACACTTTGATGTTAATAATCTCATCCACACTTTGCTGTTTAACAAGGCGAAAATAGTGTTTAAAAACAGACAGAGCGAGACGGGGTATCTACCTCAGAGAAGCTGCCTTATATAACATTGCCTAGCTTTATACAGAGACCGCGAGTGCACTACCCTCATCCAACAAAGTCCATCCAATGTGGACACCTGTCCACATCCATGTCACAGGTTTTTGTTATATATATTTTTTTACTTTCAAGTTTCCAACATGCATCCAAAATACAAACAAAGTATAGTAAATAAGGGTGTGGGTGTGGACATGTGGAGGACACAATAAAATCAGGGACTCTTCTGCCAAAACAAAATTTCACTTTCTGTAATAAGAAACTCCAAACTACTACCACAACAAACAATTCTATCTCATAAAATCTAAACTTTAGTTTACTTATTTTTATTGGTTTTAAATTATATATTTGCACCTTTACTATTGATGCTCCATTATATTGTCCTTTTTGGAGAATGTTAACGCTAAATCAAAACATAGATTATATAGGACTTTATTTCCTTAAGGTATTTGGCAGTGCTTTTTTTTCCGTCCTGAATATTGTCCACTAATCTTCCTCTCAACCTGCGTACAGCTCCAACAAGCACCACCACTCAGAGGTACCCAACTATAGCCCGAGAAGCAAAACCCATGACCGGAAGTTATTACAGCATGCAGTGACCGAGAAGGAAGATCCTTCATGTGCAGCCATTTTGACGAGTCGTTCCAGCGGTCTGGGCCATGGCAGTATTATACTGTTTATTGTTAAAACTAGTGTTATCTTATTCAGATCTGATTCAGCCACCTGTTGAACCATCCGCAATGTTTTCGTTTATAAATTTTCGTTTTGCTTCATTCTCAATTCAGTTCCATTCAATGTTGCTTTACTGGCATGAAAAAAGAACACACCAATATGAAGACTTATTTTATGATATATGTTTTTTTAAAGGCAGCCATTGTTGCATTGAAAAATAAATGTAAAACAATGACTTAGAAGAAAACTGGATCGAGTCATAGTGCTGTAATAATTGCAATTCAAGGTCAGAGTATTTGAAGTCTTTAGCACATGAACATATAGACGCACAAGCACACGTGCAAGAAGTCACAGGTTCACACAGGTACAACAGGAGTAAATGTTGACGACACTTCCTCATAAATACCAAAATCCCAATTCCGTATTCACCCTAATTTTAATGGTGAGAGTGTGGCAGCTCATCTACCATAGAAAGCTTTCTAGCTCGCGGTTATTGTTTGAATCACTGTTGTTGTATCAAACGACAAAAGCAAAAAGCACTTTTATGGACATGCATTATGTGTGCTTCATTTTACCTGTCTGCTGGCTTATCTATTGAAAGCAGCCTTGCTGGTGCGGGCTCCGACACTGGATCACCATTTAGGACGAGGAAGGGGGAGAAAAGGAAGAAAAAACCCCGGATTTAATGGTGTTTATTTCAGCATCTTAATCATGCCATCTCTCCCGCTCTCCCTCAATGCGTCTTCCTTTTTCCTCATTTTCCTCCTTCCACCTGCAGTTTCATCACCTTTCTCTTCACATGCCAGGATATTGCACACACTCAGCTCCATGTTGCCCCTTTATTGTGTTTGTATATCTTTATTGCATGTATGAGCACTACAGTATAGGTTCAAACACACAATGTGGGCTTATAACAGTGGCAGCCATGACAGCTGTGCTATTCCCCTCTCCTTCCACCCCGCGCAGACACACGCGCTCTCTCTTTACAGACCAGGCCTTCATTAATATTCCGTTGTTGTGCACTGTCTGTCTGTGTGTGTTTTTTTGTTTTTTTTTTAACTCTGAGCCAATTTGCTGTCTGCTGTGGCGGGGTGTTTTGTGTTCGCAGCTGTATTTGATAGTGTGTGTGAGTGTGAGTGTGAGAGAGAGAGAGAGAGAGAGAGAGAGAGAGAGAGGGGGGACTGAATTGAATTTAGAGAGCGACAGTTCTGGTCCTGGCAGTGATGGAGCCCAGTGATTTACAGCCTCTTACTGTATATAATGAACACGCCCCGGGTGCCCATGGGCACAGGCACCCTCGGCAGGCCTTTTGGGTGGTGATGGGGAGGAGGGGGTGTAAATGTAGAGGCGGAGGTGCATTGGGGAGGGGTCAGGAGACGCAGGTGGCGGTGCTCGGGGGCACCCACGGGTCCACTCACCATGCTGTGGTTCCACCTCACTGTGCTGAGTCCTCATCTGCGGCCTCTCTGCCATGTGGTTGCACCGGAGAGTGAGAGAAGAGATAGGATGGGAAGGAAGGCAAGGAGGGGAAGAAGAATAGGGATGAGAGGAGGACAGATGGAAGGGAGGAAGTAATAGTGGCAGATTTTGGATGGACAGAGGACATGTCCCCATTATTCTCCAGCCCCTGTGAGAATATCCTGACAAAATGAAGTCCTGTCTGGCCCTCCTCACAATGTGATTATAGAATTGTGTCTGCTTCATTCAGAGCTCTCCGGTGCATCTTTGCACTTTGGCGGCCCCGACTGGCTACAGGAGATAACGTGCATGACATGATACCGCAGGATGCTGGAGCCCTGACAGTAACCACTCTGCATTTTATAAGACTGAGCACTGTTGTTCTAAACCAGCAAATGTAGCATCCAGTTTTTATGGGTAACAGCCTCATACAATTAGCATAGTTTTGTCAATGGTAGTGAGGAATATTTAGGTTTTCTTTTTGGAGGACGAACAGTTAGTCTTTTAAGTTAAGAAAAACAACAACCTTGTATTGAAACTTGAAAAAACAGTAAGCTCTTTCCTACTAATTCCAGATTTTTGATGAAGTTTGCTAACAGCAGACGCTGGCGCAGCAACAGGACATTAAGCGTAAATAACATAGGCCTCCTCTGAGTATTAGCATCCCACTCGCCGGTCTGATCAGAGGCCCTAATTAAAGGCAGGTGAATCTGAGCTCAATTATTATTCTTGCAGCGTCGTGCGAGCCCACCGAGCTCCGTGATGGATTGTGATCTCTGCTGTGGTTGAAACGCTAGAAAGAGCACAATGTCTTACAGCGGGAGCCACTGATAACTTCACGCAGACAAATAAAGACTGTCACTTTTATTGATTTTACCCAGCTCCCACTGCCGCTGCCATATACACCCACATCCCCTGCTCCATCCCTGTCTCAGTT